GCATTGGGGGTTGAATAATTTTGGTCACAACTGTACGTAAGAAACCAAGACCATCTTTCATTTTTAGACCTAGAACTTAGTCCCAACAATGGTCAGATCATTACCAAAAACTACACCAAACCCACCTCAGGAAACGCCTATCTTCATTATCAGAGTTGTCATTACCCCACCTGGATAAACAATATTCCAAAAAGTCAATTCTGTTGCCTCCGCCATAACTGCACCAAATTAACAGATTACAAATAACCCAGTGTTACCCCCAAGAAAACATTTTCTGAAAAAGGGTATCCTAACAAATTGGTAAATGAAGCATATGCTTCCTGTCTGTTAAACCCAATACTAATAGATCTACTGAGAACCCCACCATACAGTCAGATTCACCACCAGATTCCATGGGAGACACCAAAAATGAGAAACGTTTTCAGAAAACATTGGAACAGTTTGCTACAAGATCTCCATTTAAGAGATGTTATTTCCCCCAAACCCATCATCACTTACAAAAAAGCCCCCATCTAAAGAACAAAGCAGCCCCCAGAAAGTTAAAATCTGTTCAGCCCCAGCATGTACCTTCCCTATTCTCCACCCCCATCATAGGCATGTTCCAATGTCGTAAAGCTCGCTGTAAAACATGTCAATTTATCCAACATGGCCAAAAGGACTTTATACACAAAAAGGGAAATAGTACAAGTTTACTGAATTCTGCAATTGCTCATCCACATTTGTTGTCTACTGCCTTAGTTGTCCCTGTGGTCTCTTGTACGTGGGACATACCACACGTACCCTGCGTTGCAGGTTTGGAGAATACAGTCGCCTAATTGAAGGTGGAAAGGATGAGCACAGTGTCCGCCGCCATTTTTTGGATACCCATAACAAATCCACGGTGGGAATTCGGGTTTGGATGGTCGAGGTAATGCCCGTTGGTCTCCCTGAGGTGGAGCACTTCCATTAACTCTGCCATAGGGATACATTTTGGATACATGCCCTTGACACCCTATCCCCCACTGGCCTCAATGAGGAGTTGGAAATTGCCACCATATTATAACCACCGTCTGCAATAACCCATGTGAGTCATCTTCTCTATTGTTCATTCTCCCCCCCTGGGTTCTGACGGTTAGACATGCGTTTACACCACTTTCGTTTATGCTGGTCGTCATTGCCACACTATCATCACAGACCTAATTAGCCTGTTTTTTTGACACAATCATATATGCATGTGTCATCACTGCACTATCACTACATACTAAATTAACCTGTCCTTTGCCCTAACCAATGTACGCAAGCACCTCCGTTACAGCATGCCCTCTTATCTACGTATGGTTGACACATATCCATTGCATTGCTGTGGCTACCATAAAATTATGCAATTCATTTATCACCCTTTGCCCCTTTTGACATCCCCTAATTTCCTTTCCATGCTAGGAACCTATGCCAAAACTATTTTTCTACGCAGGGTTATCCTCTACCAATCGTCCATTCTGCCCTTTTTGTATGGGTATATATGCACTAATAATATAATATATATATATATATATATATATATATATATATATATATATAAATAAATAAAATGTAATTTTTGTTTTCTATTTTTTTCCAATTTTTTTCTGATTTCTTTTCTTAATTTCTTCAGATTTTGTTTCTTTTTTTTCCCCTAATGCCATGCTTTCTAACATTACCTCTAAGTGTCTCATAATTTTAACAATATTCACTATTTAATTCCTTTTATATATTGTGCTGATCTTGCTTTTATGTTAAACCCACGTTTTATGATATGTTTATGTAAGTATATTATCCCTCCACCAGTGTCATTAATCTTCCTGTTCACAGACAGCTTGTCTGGTGCTATGTGACAGTATCCTCCTCATTTCCCTGCCCCTGGCCCTGTCCATCATCCGCCCCTTGCTCTACAAAAGGCTCCTTCACCCTCAGCTCCTCCCTGCCTGATGAAAGAGAGCGCCTGGACTCATCTTGTCCTGCACATGCTCAGAAACGCATCGCATTTTGATGACGCCAGATGTGCTGATCCCGGACATCTTGGAGACTCTGCCAGGCTTCGCCATCTATGCTGCATATGCACAGCACCATCTGCTGGCAGACACCTTGGAAATTCCACCAGGCTTACCATCCATGTTGCACATGCACAGCGCCACCTGCTGGCGGACTCAATCGATCTCCTCTCTGGATCAGACACACAACATCTGGCTACAGATGTCTCACCCTCTTACCCATGAGCCTGTTATTAAATTCTAAGATGTGAGTTACTATTATCTTTCTATTAAATACCTTCACAGAAGACACTTAGGAGGCACTGTGTTTTCTTTGTTTCTATTCCACATTTTCACAGCTCTCACCTTTCCGTGTTTGGAGATTCAATTTCTTTTCCTCCAGAAGTATAGATGTGAGGGGTTTTTATTGTGACTTTCACCTTTTTTTATATATATGTTTGGCTTGCATTGTTTACAGCAGCGCTACACTCTTATGAGTTACATTTTGCTTCATTTCTGGGAACACAAGTTGGTGTTTAGCAGCAGCTAGAAGTCACTATAATATTATATTTGGTGTACGCACAAATTATAGAAAAGGATGTACACATTTAGTTTGTGCAGATGGTCCACAACATTATTTTTCTAGATACATACAGCAACATGTTCCTGCTCCACTCCTCCAGCCAGTGGTGTATTTAGATTTTACACTGCCCTAGGCAACACAAAAATGTTGTGCGCCCCAATGAGAGAGCGAGAGTTCAATGAATGTGTGTATATATGATTCTCTCTCTTCCCCCTCTCTTCCTCCTCTCCCTCTTTCCCTTCTCTCCCTTTTTCTCTCCCCTACTAGCACATATTCCCCCTAGCAAGTACCCCCCTTTCCCAAAATCCACATTACACTTCCTAGAAAAAGTGGAAAGGAAAGAGCCGGGAGGAGATGAGCTGTGTTGTGTTCTCTGGGCTCTCCCTCCTATTGTCCATCCAGCACATGATACATGATCACTGATAGATTGTATGGGACTGTATACACACACAGTATGGATTACCCCCCCCCCTCCTCCAAGGGCTGCTGATCTGTGGCCAGCAGGAAATGTGGGAGGGGGGACGATCTATCAGTTTCATGTGCTGGATAGACGAGAGGAGTAAGAGCCCAGAGAACACAACACAGCTCACCTTCTCAGTCACTTCTCCTCTCCCTGCTCCAGGCTGTCCCATGGTCCTGGATCTGAGTGCAGGTGGGGGAAGGTGCTCAGTGGAGTGTGGACACTCAGGAGCACCCCTCCATCCAGCCAGGTCTGTCTCCCCCTCCAGCAGCAGAAAGCCAGTGGGAGAAACCTCAAACCGGCTTTCAGCTGCTAGAGGGAGAGATGCATCGTTTTGCAACTGCCCTCCCCAACCACACTGATGCTCCTGCTGTCTGGGCCACCTACAGGAGAACTGGTGGTATCCCTCTCATGGCGGCCCTGCATGGCTCAGTCCGCCACTGCTCAACAGGTCCCTACTTACGGGGGGGTCCACCCCCCTAAAAATTGCCGCCCTAGGCAAACGCCTTGTTTGCCTCGCAGTGGATACGCCCATGCCTCCAGCACTGACAAATATGCAGAGCCATGTAATTTCAAAACTGTGACCAAAAACTGTGGACCTTGTTCAATGTTTCTGCTGCTGAAGGTACCCCTGTTATCAGCAGCCTCTGCCTGCAAGTGGATAAGCGGATATTTTCGTATTGTGTACACTGTATATACTATATATCTTAAAAGACTAACCAACACAAAACGGTTGCAAGGATGGTAGGGTTGCTTGCTGCTAATGTAGAAAAAAAAAAGCCCTAAAAATTACAGCTAGGTTCATGGATCTCTGTAAATGGGGGGAATTCACAACGAAATATAAGTCACCACAGTATAGCACTGTGTAGAACTACAACCACACTGTAGTTGATTTATTCACAGAATTCTGTGAATGAATGATGGGGTCGTGTGGACGAGGTTCCCCACCAAGCCAAGTTCTTTTAAAAAAGTAACAGATGTTACGGGGAACTTCTCCCCACACTGCTGTCACACAGAGGTCTGAGATCTCTAAGCCACTGCAGGAGCGTGAACATGTTACATGAACTCATCCTTTAAAATGTATGTTTTTTAAATATCATCTTTTTATGTATTTTAGACATCTTCCTCTACATATGACTGACAGATAAAGTGCTTCAAGAACCCTCTTTCCATCTCTTTCTATTGTAGACTCCTAAATGATACAAGGCGGACCATAGAGAGACTGGATTTTGGTAGAAGTTTGCTCCACCTACTTCTTAGAGGAATAAAACCTTTATAAATGAATGTGCAATTTACGAGCCTACATTATAACTGACTCTAAATGCAATCTGTGTTATAAACACAAATTTCCTGATCATGCTTGGATGTCTACTGTGTCCCTTTTTTTACTGTGCCATTGTTTCACCATCTTTTAATAAAAATGTTAATATATAAAAAGTGCCTCCACAAGATTCATTTTTTGTCTACATAAATCCAATTTGTCATGGGAAACCAGTCTAATTTTAATGACTTCATATTTGTGGGATTTGTCAATCTAGAGAGTTACAACTTTGCAATGTTCGCTGTCACTTTTATCATCTACATTCTGACCATCACTGGAAATGTATTAATCACCTTGGTTGTGTATTTTAATGTTAACCTTCATACTCCAATGTATTTCTTTATCACTAATCTGTCTTTATTGGAGATATGGTATGTGTCCACTACAACACCAAAGCTTCTAGTCATGTTGGTAACCAAAAACAAGAGAATATCTTTCTACTGGTGCTTTGCTCAGCTCTACATGTTCTGCAGTTTGGGCATTGCTGAGGTTTATTTGTTGGCCATCATGTCCATTGATCGATTTGCGGCCATTTGCAAACCACTGAGATATACCACCATCATGACTGGGAGAGTATGTAAATGCTTATCCTCAATGTGCTGGATCCTGGGGTTCTCAGAAGCAATAATTCCCACAGCACTAATATCACAGGTACTGTTTTGTGGAAAATATTTTGTTAATCATTACTTCTGTGATGTGGCTCCTTTGTTAAGCCTATCTTGCGGAGACATAACTCTCACAGTTACTATAAATTCTTATGTTAGTGGTTTTACCATTATGTTTAGCCTGGGGACTGTTGTTATCATGTACATCAATATCATAATTACAATCATGAAGTTAAAGACTAACACAGGACGAAGGAAGGCATTCTCGACGTGCTCTTCACACATAACTGTGGTGACACTTTACTGTGGCACGGCATTCGCTATGTATTCTAGCCCCAAAAACACTCAAACTATGGAATATGACAAAATGATTGCTCTCGTATATACTATGTTAATACCTTTCCTAAATCCAGTTATATACAGTCTTAGAAATCGAGAAGTTATGTCAGGTCTAAAAAGAGGATTTCAAAAGATTTTAATTCAGATTAGTAGATAGAAGTCACCTTTTCAGCATTCCAAGGAAGCATGCAGTATAACCAGTTCTTGACCACGCTATAGCTAAAAGATGGCTACAGCGCAGTCATCCAGTTATGGGAGGGCATCTGGAGTGCTCTGTAATCAAACACAGCTGATCACAGATTGCAGTAAAGAACCAATCACAGCTGTCCTTTACTATGTAATCAGTTGTGTCCAATCACAGCTGATTACATTGTAAATAAATGTGTCGGTTATCGGCAGTCTTTTCCTCACGTTTTCACGCTGTCGCCGGTAACTGGCGATTGTGACGAGATTTGTAAAAGGTCCCTGATTATCAGGCAGCCTTAGCAGTGCTGCCTCTTCCGTGCCCATCAGTGCAGCCTCATCAGCACACATCAGTGAAGGAGAAAAAATTACTTATGTGCTAAATTTTATAACAGAAATTAGGAAAAACTTTTTTTTCAAAATCTTCAGTCTTTTTGTTTGCTTAGCATAAAAATCCCAGTGGTGATCAAATACCACCAACAGAAAGCTCTATTTGTGGGGGGGAATATGATAAAAAATTTCATATGGGTGCATTGTAGCATTACTGCACAATCGTCAGATTGCAACAGTGCTTAAAGCTGAAAATTTACCTGGACAGGTAGGGAATGAAAGTGTCTGGTATTGAAGTGAACAATTATTATTATGCTATTATTTGTGATTAGAAGATGGACATTTGAAAAAAAGCGGGTAAGCTGACTACCATCAATCTCTTTATGTATTGTTTTTTCCAGTGTGTGTACAGTTTTCTATAGTGTTCTATTTATAATTCACTATTGTATAAGCCTTACTGTTTTGTGAGTTAAAGAGAACCTGTCATGCTTAACAAGATAAAAACATACCAATTAAATGTACTTACATAACAATAACTCTGACTGCCTTTCTTTGTCAATTTAATTATAACTTTGTTATCCATCATTTACACTTACACTATATTGCTAAAAGTATTGGGCCGCCTGCCTTTCCACACACATGAACTTTAATGGCATCCCAGTCTTAGTCCATAGGGTTCAATATTGAGTTGGCCCGCCCTTTGCAGCTATAACAGCTTCAACTCTTCTGGGAATGCTGTCCACAAGGTTTAGGAGTGTGTCTATGGGAATGGTAAGGGTATGTGAGTGCACTAAATGGGGGGAAAAACAGCAGCTGTGCACAAAAGGTAATCAAAAAAAAAACTCAATCAAACAGTATAAAAAGGAGAGTGCAGCACTAAATTTATTAAGACCATAAATCCTATTATGAAGGTAAAAAGTTCATAAATGAGCATAAAATGACATAAATAAGTATAAATGGTTGACAGTTCAAAAGGTGACTTTCAGTGCTCCTAAAGTGCCAGTTTTCTTGGTAAGTCAGTGCTTGTGCAATAATTGCGGAAGGATTGCACACTCACCGGACGTGCAGTGTAAATGCGCATATAAATAAATATCCAGATGTCATCAAGGAATCATCAGTGTAAGCCAGGTATTGGAGAAACTTCCCTCTGAGGGTGGATAGATCCTGGGGCTTTAAGTGGTGATACAAGGACAGCCAGAGCTCACCTTAAGGGATGGATGGGTGCAGCTCTCAGGGTGTATAGGAGGCTCCCTCTCTGGATACTGGATGCTGGGTTACTCAGGGCGTCTGAAATTTAATACTCCTCCAGGGAGTTCAAGACAGAGATATGCCCATAGTGTAGTAGAGTATATAAATATTTATTGGGGGGTTAACAAATAAACGATGCATCAAATGGTAAAAACAATTAAGTCAGGACTGACCGTCCACAACTAAAAATGGCTGCTGGAGCTCCACGATGCTCTGGCGGCGTGACGTCATGGCGTAATTGGCTCCTACTTACGCGTTTCCTCTAGGAAAGAGCATACACAAGATTATCAATACAGACCACGTCCCAATTACCTCCAGAATTTCATTAGAAAAAAGACCCCTGGAACTTTTGGTCCACAGGCCTCACCGAGAAATACTACTAGAACTTACTACCAACCACAAACTAGACCACAATGGATTACCCTGAAACACCCCCTACCACATCCAAATAATCAATATACAAATAAAGATACCCAGGTCCGTTTTTTTTAGAGAGGGGGAGGGTTCTCAAAAGAAGCAAATCCACAGGGGAAAAAGGGTTAACAGACGCTTGGAAGAAAAGAAGGATGTAGCCGGGAAAGACATTTTTAATTTACTTTAATACTGAACTTACGCAACAGGAATTACAACTTTTAGATAAAGGACTGAAATTTGCTCCAAATAAGAAACTTAATAAGTTTCAGATGTATATTGACATCCACAAATTTTCTAGACAATTATCTTTAAAAAGGTACTTCTGCACTAGCCCTATTGAACAGAATAATGTAAATACTTCCCCTTTTTCCAATTTAAGGAATGCTTCTACTTATAATCCACCTCCACAGGCATGCTCCTATGTTAATTTATTTAAAGAACTGGTTCTTTAGGATTTGGACAATTTAACTATAAAACAACCCCCTCGCACACAATCAACTAAGACAATAGAATCACTGGAAAGAAAGGACCTAGTGATTAGGCCTGCAGATAAAGGAGGCTTAGTCATACTAAATAAACCAAACTACATAGGAGAAGTATATAATATACTTAATGACGCCACTACCTATGCACTTTCACCCAAAGATCCCATTTTAACATATAAAACGCACTTTAAAGGATATTATCAAAAATGGATTTAAAGATGGAGTGATCAATAAAAAAGGAAAAGAAATTCTTATGCCCTTCTGCTCCTAAATTACCGGTATTATATATTTTACCCAAAATTCACAAAGATCTGGTTAAACCATCTGGAAGATCTATAGTAAGTGGTATAGGTTTTCTCTGTTCAAAAGGTGGGAGAATACATTGATTATTTTTTGCAACCACTGGTGGTACAAACTCCAGCATTCTTACATGACACTAAACATATTTTGAATGATATTAAAAATATTACTACAACTCCCAACACATTCCTAGTTACGGCAGATGTTGCTTCCCTTTATAGCAACATTGCCCACAGAGACGGAATGGAAGCAGCTGAATTTTATTTAACCACACTCAGCACTTTACCTCTATCAGAGATCAATTTTATTTTACAGCTATTAGACTTTGCCATGAGTAAGAACTATTTCTGGTTCGACCAGAAATATTATTTACAGATTAAATGCGTAGCTATGGGGGATAAATTTGCCCCCAGCCTCTCTAATTTATTTATGGCACACTGGGAAGAATTTTTAATTTATGCTAGAGAGTGGCCAGAACTAAATTTTTTATAAGAGATACATAGATGATGTTTTTCTTCTATGGAACGGAGAGGAACAGGCACTAATTAACTTCTTTAACACCCTAAATGCCAATAATTTGAATATTGACCTCTCTACACATATAGCACTCAGGAGATCAATTTTTTGGATCTTACTCTTATTAACCACAATGGGAAAATTGTCACTAAGTCATATTTTAAGAAAACTGATCGGAATAGCTTCATCCCAATAGGGAGTTGTCACCATCCAGTATGGTTGGCAAACATACCTAGGAGAACAGTTTTTAAAGAATAAGAAAAAATTGTACAGATCTTGACACCTATCATACTCAAGCCCAAACCCTCACACAAAGGTTCCTTGAAAAAAGGGTATAATGAATATAACTTAAATGAAACTATTAATATGGTAGCCAGAACCAACAGGGATGATATACTTAAAAAATAAAGAAAAATGTAAATGCACTCAAATTTGTCCATTTATGACCACATTTTCTACCCAACATAAGGCCATTAACCGGATCATTAATAAAAACTGGGGAGTACTCAAAACTGATACGATCCTTTCTAAGGTGTTGCCGGATAAGCCAGAGATTATCTTCCAGAAAGGCCACGGCCTTACGACACCACCTAGCTCCCAATGTAATTAATCCACCAAAAAACATCTCTTTTCCGACCTTAAAAGGTTTTTACCCATATAATAAATAATTGTAATAACAGTAGGAAATACAAAAAGACTACATTTAATTCACAGAAAACTGTCAGATCCTATAATATTGACAAGTTTATCACCTGTAATAGGTATGTGGCATACCTACTTGAATGTCCTTGTAAATTACAGTACATAGAACGAACTACTAGACAATTACGGGATAGATTACGTGAACATGTAAATAATATTAAACGTGGTTATAAAAGAACACTCTGTCAGACCATTACAGATGTACCCATAATAAAGATCCTACATCACTGAAATTTATTGGAATTGATCTAGGGACACCTCATTGGAGGAGAGGAACCCACAAAAGGAGAGCTGTCTTCCAACTCGAAACAAAGAGGATACATGAACTTCACACTTTGCACCCTAACAGCCTTAATGTAGGAGGTGGACATAAATTGTTTTGACAATAGTTAATATTAATCATCCCCCCACGTTCAGCCTAATATATATTTTTATTTTATTTTTTTTCTTTAGAGATGAGCGAATCGAAGTATCCGAAGTGGAATTCGAGTCGAATATCGGAAAAATTTCGATTCGTGCCGAATCCGAAAAACAGCCTAATTCGGACGCGCGAATCGAAATTTTTCCGAAAATGGCGGCTGACATGTGCGGCGACGGAGCGGGGATGTCGGGGAAGGCGCGCAGACAAGGCGCGCTGCCCCATAATGCATTCCTCAACGACATGTGATCGCATCAGCCAATCAGCAGCCAGCCAGCCAGCACTGTGTAATGGTCGAGGTATATATAGCGGCCATTTTGGAAATCTTCATTTGCCTGCAGTCATTGAACAGAGGCAGACCGCTCTGTACTAGGGACAGGGACAGAGTTAGGGCCACAGAAACGAGAATTGGGGACAGAGAGAAGTTACTTAGGGACAGAGAACCATTACTCAGGGACACAGACTTGTTAATGAGGGCCACAGAATCGTTATTTAGGGACAAAGAAACGCTAGTTAGGGCCACAGAATTCATACTCAGGGACAGACAGAATTGTTACTCAG